GGTGATTTTCGCCGAATACACCGTTTGCGTCAAGCAGCGTAAAACCAAATATTGAAGCGGCAATGAATCAATTCATACTTCACATTTCTGGTTATAACACGCGCAAACGCCGTTTATTTGCCGAAGAAAGAGACGGAGAAAGAAAAAAAACACTCCAGCGAACAGCTATTGAACGCAATGTATGCTAATTTGCTGTTTAGTTGAAATGCTAAAGCCATTTACATTTGTTGAAAATGCACAACGATGCGAGTGGCGTCGCAGTTACCGCATCTCTCCCAATGTGGCTTATTGGAAATTTTGTGTTTTTGTTGTGTTCTTGTTAGTGTAAACATCGAAAAATTTATCACGTCTACGCTTATAAACAAATAATAAAAATATTGCAAAAAAAAAAAAAAAAAAAAAAAACAAAACAAAAACAGAACAAGAAATGCTGCCGAGCAAATTATCCAGAAACGTTTATAACCGTCAAACGTAACAAAACGCCTAATTAATATACTGCGATAGAGAGAGAGAATTTCGTCGAAACGAATTATTCTAGACGGCTAAAATTACCCGACCTGCAGCGAAATTCAATACGCAAACGTTAGCCATACATTCGTATGCAAATAATCGGGTAGAGAGAGAGGGAGAGTAAGGTAGAGCACAGAGGAATAAAACAACACATACAACACTAAAGAACAAACGTTCGGCAAAAAAGATAGTAATTTTTTGTCGCACTGCCAACAAAGAGCCACTAGACAATACATCACGCAAAAAGTGCCAAGTCAAATATGAGGAAAAGCACAAGTAGAGAGAACAACCACAAGAGCGAAGAATAAAAACTCAAACAAATACACGGCAGAGAATTCCAACGAGCAGAATTGTTTGTGTGTGTATGTTGTTTTTTATTCTCATTCCCTTTCATTTATTTCACAAGGCAAAAATCTTCGTAATTAAGATGGACACACAGTGCAATACAGTTGTTGTTCTATTGCATTTTCGTGGTGTTGATGTTGTTGTTTATTCAATGTTCGTGTGTGATTTCTATTAAGTATGCGACTTTCTCTTTCGCTCGTATTGATTGTGTGTTGCGCGTCGTTGCTGTCATCATCGCATTATCACCGCCTATTGTTCGGGTTTGAGTGAGACACGCACCACAATAAAACGACAGTTAAGCGGTCTCTGATATTCTAAATTGGTTGCAAGACGAAATACACAATCCTTCTCTTTCACTTCATTGAAACTGGTAATTGTTTTTGTTGTTGCATGATACATCGAATATTTGAAAATTTTGTTGAACGAATTCATCACGTAAATGAATCGGTTACAAAGTACATACTTTATTCACACTGTTCTTTCTATGTAACAAGAGTGCTGTACTTAAAATCTTCACTCAAATACCGTTTCCTATCTTTATCGTTCAATTCATGGAATTTTACGAGAAACAGTTACCGGACGGAATTGAAATTGGCAACGAAAAAAAAAATGGAAGATAATTGACGGAAAAATGGATCTACATTTTACTGATGTGTGAAATGCGATTCAATGAAATAGAAGTTAGAAATTGAAACATGTTTCGAGTGGAATTGTGTCAGAAATGTTATTTTCAAAATAAAATTCCGACCACAAGAAAAAATTTGTCGATGCTTTGACGATAAAAACAGTTTCTGTTGAAATGCGCGCAATTTACATATCGACTAAATTCAAAGATGTCACCCAATTTTATATATCTCTATCTTGAAATATTGTATATGATGCGAGTGGAAAAACCTGTAGCGCGCGCATTTTTTTCTTTTTCTTTCAAAACAGTTGTAACGTATGTGATAGCGCAAACGACAACGGGGCAGAGAGAAAAGAGAAGAAAAAAAAACACAACAAAACATTTCCATTTTCATTATGTCTATAGTATGTATCGTATATATCTATGCAGTTATATGCGCCAGACACCGGTATTGTGCGTTTTCTACTATACTGCATACGATAGCCGCCGTCGTCGTCGTTGTCGACAACGTGAAATACAGTGCACACACAGAGCGACTGAGAACGAATAAGCGAGCGAATGAGTATGCGCTAGGCCACAATATATGTACACAATGTGATGAAATCGGTTCGAAGAAAATCAGTTTGGCACGAATTACACAAACATCCATCCAATTGTCGTCTTATAAAATATGAAAATGATATGAGAGTTCTTAAATCAAACTCAACCGAATTCACAACCACTTAATTTAAATTGAGACTATGGAAAAATGCTAACAAATTACTTCAAATCTTGCATTTGATTTGGTGTGCGCTAGTCAGTAATAGCTGGAAATTATAATTTTGAATCGTAGAGGATTCATTGGAATATCTATTAAATGATGATTAACACCAATTCGCAACGGGCACACAAACACACACAAATAATGCGCGACGTAAATAACAAGTCATTTATATCATCATCAACAACAACAGGAGTAAACAGTAAAATTTGATGAATGCAAAGTAAAAAAAATGATCAATGAACGGCAACGGTGGTTGAGGGAGGAATGAGCGCCGAATGCAAAATAATTTTAGCGGAAAAACGAACGAGAGAAACACACCTTTTTTCCCATATTATCGGAGTAATTTAATATATAAGCTCATTGCAATCCGTACTTGAACATGATACACTTGTTCAAACATTAGAACGTGCAATGCATACGCTTCCTTCTTTACTACATTTTTAAATTCTTCTTCTTTTTCGTGTGTTTTGGCTTAAAAAAACAAAATGTGTTTCGACAATTTTATTTGCTAATTTCACAACAAAATTTTCATAACCTTCTGGTTATTGTGTATTATTTATTATTGTCGATGCAACGATTTTAACCCTCGTCGCCGATGCGTCGTCATCCCATTTGCAACAATGTAATGTATGGGTGTGCGTGTGCTTTTTTCGCTTGGTGCAAATGTGAATACTTTGGTTATCATATTATTGCAGAGCCAAGCATTTTGTATGTTTACACATCGTGTGTTATGGCATTTTATTGCGCGTACACTTACTCGCATGTCAGCCAATAGTCTGGCTCATTCTCGCTCATTCTCGCTCATTCTCGCTCATTCATTTTATCGGTATAAGTGCATATACGCTTGCTGTGCTCCATTTGTGGGCGACCGCGGACAGAAAGAGACAACCACAACAAAAACGAATTAAAAAAATGATGAGAGAATAATGTTAGTGTATAAATGCGGCAAAAAGCGGTTTTTTTTTTATATATGCACGTTGCATGTTTATATTGCCGGCTGAATTGTGTGTGGTGTGTTTTTATTATGTTCTCATTCTCTCTGTGTGCTTGCTTCTTCTTTTTATTTCACTATTCTCTCCGGCCGCGCAATGCCTCAGTGCATTGTTTTGTTTATTTTCTTTTTTTGGCGCGTCGGTTTTTTTTTTGCTGTTTTGAATTGAATGCGTGTGTATGTGAATGTGTCTATGTGCCGAGTGAGAGAAAATATTTTAATAATAACATTGGATTTCGACAGTAACACCAACGAAAAAACAGAAACAATAACCGGCAGTTGTAGTCGCTTCAATAAAACCCAGAAATTTTTATTATTTCATATTCATTGATTTTTAATCGTTGCTTTGAACGTGCTCTACATCGGAGTGAGCTAGATCGTAAACTATAACTATACATATTATTATAATTTTAATATATTTTTTATTTTATTTTGCGAGGCCGGACTTTGTCAGATATGAATGAGGCTTTGGTGTTATTGCACAAACGACAACACACAGCAGCAGCACGGCGATATTAATCTGACATACAAAGGAAAATTGCGCTCAAAACGACGCATATTTGGTCGAAATTGAACTTTGACTTTCGATTGTCGGTTGTCTGTACGTACTGCGTGAGTGTATATGCCTGTGCAACTGGGCGAAGGAAGTAATTTACATTACTATTTAAAATGAATAAATCGAAGTGAAAAAAAATTAAGTGCACATTTTTAAAAGAAGACAATTTTTCTCACAAGGAAATTTGGCCAAAAAAAAAAGAAATAAATAGTGCCGTTATATTGAATTAAAAACGGTCGAGCGGTGACCAAGGGAACTAACTGCACTGCTCAAAGCCTCAATGTATATATATAGTACGATGACGACAACGACGATGATGATGATAATAATATTGATGGGCTTTAATATACACACGTTAGTGCTTGGTGATCGGTGGTATTTCGCAAGAATGCGCAAAACGGAACAACAGATTAAAATAGTGAATGAACCACCACATCGCACGCAATTTATTTTGTATTTTTGCACATATTGTAAATAATCGGCTGCGCGAACATATTGCATTGCAACTTGACTTGAATAAGAATTCAGTGCTGGGCACCAACATTCTATGATTCTTCGTCTTTTATTTTCATACTTCATCGTTCTGTGGCCAGCTCGCTCACACTCGCGCGATGCAAGATTTCTAAAGACAGAAGACTCGGCAGTCATTTTTCTATACGATTGGCTGAGCATTGGCCGTATTGTATGTGCATACGATTTTTTTTTTCTTCTTTAAATATAACTCTTTTTTTCCTCTTCTTCTTCTTCTTTTATTCACTCAAAAATGTGCATAACGGCAATTAGATAGTCGGATCGCACTCAAGAATAAATAAATACATATATATCGATCAATGTTCGAGAAAAAGAGAAAGGAATGCCACACACACAAACACACACACTCGTCACACAACAATCTTTCTCTCTTCTCGCACAAGACAAACCCTGTGGAGCAGCGGAGAAAGAGATTTTTTGCACTAAAATCACGCTCGCACACACAAACATATTATAAACGAACCGACCAGAATCTTAGCAAGTCGATTTCAAAAAAAAAATTCCAAGAAAAAAAGGAATTATTGATTCTACGAAATTTCAGCAGAGCGAACCGACAAAAAAATATCGGTCGCATTTGCCACGTACAATGTATCGATCACAGTTCGCACTTGTAACAAGAAACAAGAAACAACAAAAAAAAAATTATAATAATAATAATGAATTTGAAAAATCCACTTACACACAAAAATTAAAATTGCACTTTGGAAAATGAACGTTGTTATTGCTGAAAAATCGGTGTAGCAGGAATACTTTTACACTCGCGTCACAATTTATGATAGTTCCAAGTGATCCAGGAAAAAATATTTATGTATTTCTTTTTTTTTTGTAATTTTAATTGTCCAAAAAATGTTATTCAAATTCTTTTTAGTGTTCTTTCACGTTCAACTGTTCTTTCACACAAGAAGAATATTTAAATTAAAAGAAAAAAAAAACCAAATGAAATGGAGAATTAAAAAAAATCAACTCTCTAACATCTGTTGAGTGAATGTCTTTGAATAATGTATCTGAGCAACACTTATTAATTTTTTTTTTAAATTCGCGCAAATAAAGTCCTTTAGCAAAATAATTTTTCTTTCAAATTTTTTACTTTTTTTTCTTCAAAAATTCATTAATGAATTAATTTCACAGAATAAAACGATGAAATCGCTCTCTGGTTGTAATAGATCGCGCAAAAAATATGTTATCTACGGTTGTCGTTGGCTGGGTTGAAAAATTTTGTGATGGGAAAAAAAATTTCTCGTCTTGATGGCTCAATGGATTTTGAGATTTAGCTGGCTCTTATTCTCTTGCTTGCTGCTTCTCTCTGTTACTTTTTTATATGTAACGCACAGACTACCGCGATACTGCGTCCTTTGTTGCGACCTGAATTACGACTAAAGTGAAAATGTTTGGTGAGAGACAGCCTTAGCAAATCTTCTCAAATCCAATTTTTTGCCGCGTTAACGCATACACACTCTATACTGCCGCAACCAAGCGACATTCCATTTCTGAAGTACAGAGAGAAAATCAATGCGGCATCGATACTCTTATCGGTGTATGTGTGTGCGTACTCGGAGGCCCTTATATATAGAATGAATAATACACACACTATCGGTATGTTCTTGTGGATGCGGACCGAATTGCGCACCGAACGGAGTATCGCTTGGTTGTATGGCTGTACATACATACGAAGCCACGTAGCCGAAAGAAAGAAAGAATGAATTTGAAGAAAAAAAATTCGAGCCTCTCTCTCTCTACTTGCACAAAATTGTTATGTGTATGAATAAAACGACAACGTTTATTTTATTTCATCATCGTCGTTAACTCCGGCTTTGTTCTTCTCCACTTCACTGATATGAAATGAGAACGAAATACGCTTGGTGCGGTTTATAGTTGGAATGTATGCACATGTTGGCATTATGTACAGTCATCCGCCGGTATGTATAATAATAATGAAAAATACGAATTGATATATAGATCGGATCGAGAGAGTGAGTACCGAGAACTTTGTCTATATACAATATACATATACCCCACACACGACATCAATCGAAATCGCATTTCGTACGAAGCAGACATACAAAATGTCCAAAATGATATCGAATAGTAAATTATTTATGTCGTTTGTGTTTGGTAAAATGTTGCGTATATTTGTGAAATGAAATTCGTTGCATGGAATCGGTTACCTACACCGCATTGACTGCGACCATTCCATATTCGACATTCGAATTGGATAAGTAACAATGACGGCAGCACCGATTTCATTTCTTCGTTCAACATTCACGATGTATTCGGGTTCCGACAACTGCCATTATATTTCGGTTGGTCCGCTTTTTTTTCGTATAACTTTTGTTCTGTTTCGTTAGAACAACGTTAATAATAAACTAATCAAGTTATATATCAAAATCACGCGTATGTGTATTGGCGCGTTGTATGTTTTGTGAACCGAATCCGGTCGAATAAAAACCAAAACACTTCCCAACAATTTGTACTCTCAGAAAACTCAGATTTTAAAATTCAAAGTAATCAGATCAAAATGCTATTTTAACATGGGGGTATTTTTTCACATGGTAAAATGTCATTTTACCCGCAACACATTTCTTGGTGAGTAAAACGGCATTTTAACATGTGAAAAAATATCTCCGTGTTAAAACGGCATTTTGCTCTGATTACTTTTAATTTTAACATCTGCGTTTTCTGAGAGTATATATACAACAAGACCGAAATTCTTATTTTCTTATGATTTCTCCTTTTCCTGTGCCGAAAAAAAACTTATTAATTGGATTGTTTATGTCAAAGTATTGAAGTGTGTGTGTACGTTGCTCTCACCATCTTACACTAGCTTGCTTTCTCTATCTCTGCCTCTCTCTCTCTCTGATCGTGAATTGTTCGCATGTAAAATGCGAATGTGTTTATTTACTCAAAAGACATGGTAACTAAAAATCCTTGAACGTCGAACTATATCGACAATGTTTAACACGCGCAAAATGCTACATACAAAGTTTGAGCGAACAGAGTTGCGTGAGCGTGAGCGCGCGCGCGCCATCGCTCTCATTCAGCCGAAATGTTTTTTCTCTGGATTGAATGTGCGATAAGAACGATTCACACAAGAATTGTATACATTGTACCAGCCGGTGTATATTTGTATGAGATTGGAGACTTTTTTTTGCGAATCTCGCTAATGAGCGCCATCTGATTTTAGTGTGAATTAGATGCAAAAACTGAATTTAATTCTGTAGCATTGAAATGAAAAAGTGAAAAAACAACAACAATAGCACGGCCACACAGAGCTGTACATCTATGCGTGCTGATGCATACATACACATATACGCTTTCTTCATTCTTTCATTCCATTGCTATACGTATCTCACTGGTCAACAGATCTATGTAGCCATGTTACTGTTGTTGTTTTTTTTCTCTTTTTCGATTCAATTCATTGTAACTAAATTGAGTTCAACTATGGAATACAAGATGGCACAGATGAGGGGAATTCGCATTTTGTCTCTTCATAGGCTTAACCGGTTGCATTGTACACGTCATGCACATACTTTTTCATTTATAGCCCAAGCGGCGATAAAACTGTGCAAAAGTTCACCGAAGACAGACAGAGACGATGAATTGCAGAATGAAAGAGTACACCGACCGACACCGACAAAAATATTTATGTTGACTGGTGCGCAACACCACCGTTTAAAAGCCCATCGCTTATCTTTTCGCACATTTACTTCAATATTTAATTAATTGATACTCTAATTCATTGTCCATTTCAAGGCACATAGTATTCTCTGTGTTGTGTGTGTTTTTTTGGTTCTCTCCATTTTTACTCATGTACATTGTGTGTATGTTTTGGATCGATATGAATGGATATGAATGAATAGCAGCGAAGAAAATGTGATACGATATTTCGGAAACGAGAACGATGTAAATAGAATCATTGCGAATCAATAGACATAGACTGAGTTTCGGTGAGAGGCAAGTAGTTTGTGAATGGCTAAATCAGATTATTCATACTTGATTTATGATCAGTGCAAATGGCTTTTTGATGTTTCGATTACCATTTTGTACACATAGTCGTGAGCACAACAATTCGTGTGAGTGTGTGTGTGTGTATCTATGTCATTATTTGTGAATTTTCAGTGTTGAATCTGGAGAATAAGACCGGTGTGCATTTGTTTCTATCCAAGTAATATGGACAGTGACAAATGTATGTCAAAAATTGGAACATTGTAAATTGATTAAATGTTGATAAATTCGATTGAACAATTTAAATCTCATCATGTGAAGTAGTTCACACGAAGCAACACGAAGAGACTTTTTGATGTTAAAAGAAATTACAGCAGAAAAATTATTATTAAGGCGATGCAAAAAAATTTCCGGTCTCTTTCTTCGTTTCTTTCAATTATGACCTTACAAAATTATTACTAAATAAAATAAGCAACAAGTGACTTCTCTTGCACGTGTATGAAAAAGATATGAAGACGAACACATTTGAATGACATAATTGAACGCTCTAGGATAAAAACAACTTATTGTTTGGTCGCATATCGAAACGCGACTCAAAGCGAGACACTGTCATACGTCCGTACATATTTTAATAATAATAATGCTGTTGTTTCGGTGGTCGCACTAATCGAAACATATTTCCCGAAATACATTTTCCCGAAATTGCAAAATAGGCCTTCTTCCCGAAAAGGATATTTTCCCGAAAAAACTTTTTCACGATTTTCCGAAAGACATTTTGACAATTCTACACCAAATTGCTCTATTTTTTTTAAAGTTCTTTAACTGGGGTTAAGATTTCTCATGAACTAAGTCTGATGAAGTTTTAGTGAATTTTTCTTAAAAGAAATTGAAAGATTCTTCCCTACTTCAGAAAGTGAAAAACTAAAAAAAGTTCTCCACTTTTTTCGCCAAAATCCTTAGCAAATCGACAACTGATTTTAAATAATTCGGACCCGAAGAATTCAATGGTGTTCACCGTTCTCCCATTTAATTAAAATTGTATATACTTGCAGCGGCTTAGTATTTTTTATAGACATATTACAAAAAATAAAAAATGAAAATAATTGCTTTAGAGTAAAAAACTGCAGATTTTTCGTTCAAAGTGAAACATGAGTTATTCAAAAATAAAGAAGCTCTGTTCTAACTTTAAGACATGTCAATCATTTAAGAGGCGACGCAATAATAACATTTTTGCGTCACTAAAAATTTAAATCTCATCATGTGAAGTAGTTCACTTCTTGAAATTTCCTCGAACACCTGAATTGAAATGCGATTTGAAACCATGGTTCTTATCACAAATTAGTGTGAATTTCTTATCACAGTGGAATTTTATCAAAATTACTACATTTGATTGAAGGGGAAAGTCCCCGATGCTTGCTGATGCCAATTGGAATAATAAAATTCAATTGATAAATAGAAATGAAGCCAGAGAGCTGCAGAGCATGAGATAGAGCATCAACATTTTAATGTTTTGTTATTTTATTCCCACGACAAAAAAAATCGTGTGTTGCATGTGTTGGCGCGCGCAGTATGTTCGCGTTCTTTTTGCCATCTGCAAGTGTATTTGTGCCATGTGCAAATCAAATGCACGCGCGTCTCTACATATCATTATATAAGTTTATATAGAAAAATGCCGATAAAATCCAACGTTGCGGTGATGATGACAACGAAGACGGTGGCGACGGTAGCGGCAACGATAGTCACGATGATTGGTAACGCGTAGGCAAAAGTACATAGAATACAAGTCACATGCAATTTATTTGGTGTCGGATGTCTCGGTGTTTAGGCGTATTCTGTACGCCGAACTCTGTATGGTATCGACACAAACCTTACCTACCCAAAAACGGTTGTGTGTGCGCGCGCGCACGCTGCTCTGTGTTTGTGTGTGAATGTGACGCATACGATTCCCATTAAATTTCCGATTTTAAAATTGTTTGAAAGTAATTTATTTAAAAATGTATAACATACATTTTCATAATATGATGTAAATCAAAATTCGATTCCAGCACGCAATTCAATGAATCATAAAAGGTCTCATTGAAAATTTACTGATAATAATTGTACCTTTGAATAGTCGCAAACACATACATAAATGCATATACGTTGGTTATTTGTTTTTTTTTTCGTCGTACTTTCGGTTTCGACGACGACCCAACGCCGGTACACGGCGTGAAGGGGAATCGATCGCAAATGGTAAACGAGCGCGCGCACATACGACAAAAAAAACACATATACTCTTCATTATATACAAAAAGGTGAACACGAAGCAAGAGAAAGAGAATGTGAAACCGGCATTGCACTCAACCAAAATGCGAATGTTTCATTTACGATAAATATTTATACTCGTTTGGGGACTGTGTGTGCTTTTTTTTCTTCTTCTGTCGTTTGGCGCTTTTTTTAGCGCAATTC